ACCCGCTTAATATGTTATGGATACATATGAGTTCCAACTACTGGCAAATTTTCAACCCAAAAGTTTTAAAATTACGGCTAAAAACCCCGAAAAACAAAAAAACTTGTACCCCCCTAGGGGGGCGGGAAATTGGTATATTTTGAATTTGACAAAACTGACGTGCGCGGGCATACCAAATAAATATTTCTTATACATTTCAACTCGATCCGACTCTTTTTCTCGATACTATAGCCAGTAAAAGTTCTAACTTAAAAACTCGTACGTTTTTTTTTTGTTTTTTCAACTTTCGTCTGTGAAGACTTAAACTTTTTCAACTTTTACCCCCCCCAAAGTACAAACTAGACAAAATTTGTGATTTATAGAGTTGCTATTCAAAAGCATTGGTCTAGTATTAAAAAAGTTACAGTGTATACAGCGAAAAAAAAAGCCCACATCAGAGTAAAACCAATACCTTCTCGCTTTGCATCGAAGCTAAAATGAACCAGCTGTGTATATAAAATAACACGGTACACTGTAAAAACCTATAGGCTTTCAACATTTTCGGTCGGAGTATATACCCTTTTACAAGTCATAAAAAGACAATTTTCAAACAGTTAGTATGAAAAGCTGAACAAGTTACTATTGTTGTCTGAGAAATTCTAACGGTCCAATAATTTAAGTAAGTATAACAACCAAACTACAAAAGTTTTAATTTATTACGCTAGAACTATAAAGTAGGCATGAGCCAATATCGACTTTTTTCCATACCGATCAAACTGTTACAAACATAAGTGAAAAAATGATACAATTTCAATAATCGTTTTACTTTTTTTCGAGAAATATCGAAAATATACCCAAGTATATAAAAAAATAAAAACATAGGTACTAAATTTGTGATGTAGTCAGTCTATGATGCTTTTAAAGCAAAATTCTATTTTATTGAAATCGAAAGTTATTATTCAAAAATGGTTATCGACCAGTCAGATTTGTTCAGCAAATGTGTACGTTAACATTTTTGTAAAATAATGAACGTATAAAGTATAATAGTAATTTGTTTTTGATAAAACATATATAAATAATGAATAAATTAAATGTATAATTAATAAAATAAGTAAAAGGATTTATTAAATAGGAACCAACATTTTATGTTATTTATTTAAGTAACAAAATTTTGACATAGTCATTAGTTGGGCTATATAAATCAAATTTCAACTTATAGTATTTATCATACGTGTATCTAGATTTTGCTGTATCGATCGAAATATAAATGCATGGACAGATCTCAAGAAACCACTTTAAAACATTAATCGAACTGATTATTGTCTTAAAAGTTTTATCATTTCAATTGTATAAATAAGTTATACTATCAATACTAATGAGTTTTTAATTACGCTTTAAATCAGATTTAGGCAAATAAAAAACATTTTTCTTTAAATGCGTTTTTAAGATAGAAATTGGAATTTTCTTATTTTCAAAGTCCAAGTGTCTTGATATTTTCAATAGGCAATGGATAATGTAGAAATAAATGAATAAGTAGGTATTTATACTAGAATTTAAAAATAATTAAAATTTAAAAAAAATAGTGGTTATAGCAGGGTAAGTATTATACATTTTGATGAAATCGAAAGATGATGAAATTTTGAAGTTAATACTTTAATCGGTTTTTAATTTATTTATTATTTAAATTAATGTGTACTTCCGGATAAGATATTATTGCCATACTTTTTATAATGGTTATAACTTTAGTTCTAAGTAGTTTTATTAATAACCGAATTTGACATTTCCTCTAAAATGTTATCTTCTTTCCATTGTATCACGAATATTTTTACTGGAACAATACCGATTTTTAAACTAAGTACTTAGCTGTCCCAGCAAAATCTGTTAAGGAGATAACATCACGACCGTGGATCGGCGAACATCCAAATTAGAAAGAAACGTATAGAGCCCTCAGCAAACGTTTCTATTGGTCAAAAATACTTTAGTCTGTCCGCCAATACCTTGCAAGATGTCATGTGCATGTGTGCAACCCCTTCAACCGCAAATTGGAAGAATTTTGCCAGGAAATAAAAATAACTACCCGACAACAAACTTTCACCGGTCAACGCCGAATAAAAATTCGATTTCTCACAACCGGAAAAGCCTGAAAATTTCGGTAGAAAACATCCGGTGTCCAGAGGAGGTGACCGAACGTCTTCCGTTGACTTTTATGGGAGAGGGAAATCCTTCGGTAAATTCGGGATGTTCCTCGGTAAAAAGTTAGTGCTCCCATAAACTGGATGCGCAAACGCGGTAACAACAAGTTTGACCATGACGTGTGTGTTATACCGAAAAGGCGCTAAGAAAAGACAAACCTGAACAAAACATTCACGGTCAGAATGCGGGTAATGAGTCATAGCAGGTTCCTCACTACAATTATTTTGGTCTAATAAAGTACTTTTCAAGTTTGATTTATGAAGAACCCAAGAAGATGAGTACTTTTAGCAACTTATTATTCGAAAAACAGACAACTCGCAATTTAGGTTCTATTTGTTTGATATGATATCAGAGAGAATCATTGCACTTTTTGACTATTGTACCCAAAGGCCAAAGCTCTTATTGTAATGTTGTTATGTAATTCGAATAAAGTAAGAATACTTTGTTACTTGTTAATACAAACGGTTTAAGAAATAGAATCACACGTCTATCAGGTAAGTTTTAATATAAAGTTGTCGTGGTTATAGACCATTATATACTATGTTTATTGGAGTAACAAAACATTACCCTATTTTATTCAGATTCTTAAAACGATTTTTAGGAGTTGCGAGTATCTGTTTTACAAAAAATGTTTGTTTTCTTAGTTGTTAATTATTTTAATATAGTATAAATATTAATTTTAAAATGGTGTTGGTTATATAAAAAATCAAAAAAAAAGTAAAAAATAGGAACAAACAAGTAGTTTTATAAAAAAAACTTTTGTTAAATTAATTTATGCCTTTGAATGTAAAACGTATAAAAGCATTGACAAACAAACCTTCAAAAAAAATCTAAAATATTTTTCTTGAAATAAATTTGTCTTATTCCACATTGAATTTTTAAAAAAATTCTTTATATTTGTGTTACTTATTATTATGCATTCTGGCAAAAACAAACACAGGTCAGTGCTACTGAGGGTTTAGGGTGCCCCCACTTACTACTGTTATACAATACGGATGACACCCATATTTAACTATCAATGTATGACTTTTTTAAAGGTATAAACGTAAAGTAGTTGATTCTTGCGCTATAAACTAAATTTGACGAATTTTAATTAAAACAATTTTTTTTTCAGATAGGAATACCCGACATGTCCCATTCATAAAGATGTGTAAATATTTAGCATTGTTATCGAGTACAAAATTTCCAACAGAATATTTAATATCTTTAGCGTATGACTATGATGATACTTGTCTCATAACTAACAAAAAAGCAGAACCCAAAACATTTATGTACCAAAAGATTGAGGGTGTATGGTATAAAGTAACCAGAAACACCGATAACCCAGCACAACCACTTAAGGCACCATTAGACCAGGAACTGTTGGATGACTCTTCTAAAGTAACATAATACTACTGAGATTATGTTTAAATATGATTTGCATTGTTCACTTATATCCAAGCTGTAAATTGTTTTAATGCATTTTATAATAAACAGATTAATTCACGGTTATAATCACATTTGTGGCTTACGTGTTGATTTAAACAGATATTTATCATATTATACAGGTTTCATACAAAGCATATTTTCAAACAAAGTTGTACTCATTCTCTGCATGAACCATTATTTTTATTTTTAGATGACGTTCTATGTCATGTTTTACCTAAATCGGTCGGGATGTTAGTCACTTGAGTTTGAGCGGATGATTGAATCCAGAAAAAAGATCAGAGCTTTATATAAAAACAAATATATTCAAATATTGTTAAAACGTTCTTCACGATTTGAGTTAACGTCAATCAAATGACTTCGCCGTTACATTTAATATGAATAACGATTTATTAAATAGAGAAAGCACAAGACTGAATGTACTCACTGTACACTAGTTAAGGTCAGCTCTTGTCCAACAATTTTGTAAAAAAAAAATCCACTACAATTAACCGAAAAAATGTGTTCGTTTTTCCTTTGAACGAGAGACAATGGATAACCAATATGCTTTATAGTGGGAAGAAGGAATTAACAGATTTGTTTAACAGACAAAATGGCCCATCATATTACCGGGAACAAAGGTTAACTCTTTTAAAATGTTACACTACTATTGTTATTATATTTTAATGTTTTTGGCGTATTGCACTAATATCTAGACTGAACCTGATACGTCCTCTACAGGCCGGTTAGGTTAAGTTAGGTTAACCAGTTTTTAAAAGTTATTTAAGTTTTAAATTTAGGACGGAGAAAAGGGTGGAGTGTAGTATTATTTTATCTGTGCACATTACTCAACACAACACTCCAACGTTTTCACCTTCAGTTCTAAATTTTAAATTCTTATTATAACTAAAAAATAGACGACACTAAACTAATTATCGACCGGTCAAAATTTTCAGAAAATTAATATTAATCTTTAAAACTTATTTTATGTATACAATATTGTTACATTTTCAAAAGTTATCCCTCCTAAATCTGTCTTCCGTCTGAAAAAAATACACAAAATTGTTTAATTATTAGTGTTAGATGAAAACCAAAAAGACTATATTTTCATTTTTTTAGTTTATCATTAAGATAAACAGAAGGGTCATGCAGTTCTGGAAACTCCAACTTGTATGACATTGCTAAACATGATCGATTTGTCATGATCATTAATTTAAAAAAATATACACTCAGCATATTATGAGTCGCCATTCTTGTGTATGTAGCACCGCTTATCGGTATACATAAAAATCTTATTATTATTCTTATTGTAGCAATTGATACTTGCTGTAATAAATAAACAATATATAAAATAATTAATTTTTATTATATATTTATATATTTTACAGTTATAATTTATTTTTAAACAAATAACATGCGTAATTAAATATTAAAATTATGATTTAACATATAATAAATAATTATCTAAAAAGAAAAATGTATTATAATATGTACAACTCGTTTTTTTGTGGTTCTCACATTGACACGGATTCAAGAAATCGTTTATTACAATAAGAACTATTTTAAAACTGACATAATATTGCCATTCGAAAAATACAAAATGTTTAAACGGTTCGACTTAACGCAATAACAAAAGTAATTCAAACCGTTTTGATTATTATATTTTACAAAAGGTAATGTGTAAGATGTAACCAGTCGTTACTTTATTTCTTACGTTTTACAACGGCTAAAAACTTATATTTAATACGTATTATGTACATAGGTTTAACTGAAGATATTTTTAACTGCATTATATCATTTAAAAAAAAAAAAATTAAAATAGCTATTATTTTTACAAATGTATAGATACACAGCAAAAATTGTAAAATCTACTACTAACACACAGACACACGTTCTGACGGTCCTCGGACGACGGACTGAGATCAATATGTGTGTCTGTTCACAACTGGCCGTGTCGCATAATGTGTTCTCGTTTAATACTTACAAGTACGGTTGAACGTATTATAACATGTATAAGAAGTAACACGGCTGTTTTAGCGGCACAAAAACGTTCAATTATGTTAATTATGTCAACTTAACCGAAACAGTATCCATGCAAATGTGGTGATCACCCACAAGGAGTGAAGCTGGTTACACGGGTTGCTGCCTCCGTGTTGCATAGCGGCCGGGGTTTCGCCTAAAACAAACCCTCATCAACATTAGCTCAGGTTTCATACAAGTAACTTCTTAACGGGGTTGTGCAAATTCTTAAGTCTAATAAAAAAATCTTATTGACCAGAACAAAAAGTTTTTGTCAGCTCATTATCAAAATTTATATTCAAAAAGTGATGACAAACTTGAGTGGTTTATTTATGTTTTTAATTCGCTTTTATTAATTAATTAACGCTTTTATTTTAATAAGCTCAAAGATATATAACACATAGAATACAAATATAAGCCCGCCTATCATTGTTAATCCAATACGCCAATAATTTTTTAAAAAATCGTTTAAAAAGTTACAAGAGCATAAAATATTTGCTTTACATATTTTTATTTTTTTCTACCATACAATTGATTTACTTGACAAAAATCCCCTTCACGATGAATTGTATCAAAATATACTAAACAATAATGACTTTTTTTTTTAGCAAGTAATTCAGAAGTTTTTTTTTTATTATTAAGTTATATTTCTCTGGTAATCACCTCCATGTTATGTTAAGAGTAAAATTTAAAACAAAAGTACGACATAAACAAGATGAAAGGGGAAGTTTTATATTCATTCATTATGTCCCGCTCCACGCAAACACACCCTTAAAGTTATCGTACTCACGGGGAAGTCAATGCCATCATATATTGTTCGCAAGTTTTGTAAATAATTTAGATACAAACATAATGTAAAAATGTATATATTTTAAAACTTTTTGTTCGTGTCGTTTTGTCGAGATCTTAAAAAACTGATGTTTGCTCGACTCTTAAAGTAATAATACATTTTTATTATATCTATTGCGGTCTAAAAAACGAGGTTTTTCGTTCAACATTTTCGATAGACCTATCAAATTGTAAGCAAGTTCTTTGATCATTGACCTGTATAATATTGCCCTTAAGAGTTCATAAGAGTAAAAATAAAATACTATAACATAGTGTTGGGTGTACTTGATTACTATGTAATTAAATAAAGTAATCGATTATACAAAATTAATGAATTATATGTAAATCATTTAAAAAAACATTAAACAGTAATCATGATTGCATATTTTGTACTCATTGATTATTGAATACCATTGAGATCATGATATGATTTTTTTAAACAGTAAAGCTTCATTATTATTAATGTGTTCTATCAAATAAGTAATGTACAATGCTTTATATATTTATAAGTTAAACATTAGATATCGTTAGCTTAAAAAAAAAGTAACCATAATTATTATTGTAAACATACATTGTATTTGAATTATTTTGCTAGATGCTGATTAATGGTCACATTAATCTATCTTAATTTATTCAACTGTTTCAACTATTGAGCTTATAATTCGCCCAACACTGCTACAATGCGTTAGGGGTCGTCTTAGGTTTCCAATGTTTAAACGTAGATAAGAAATTAAAAAAACAATGTACCATTATTACCATTGAGGACATGAACCGTGACTGATGTGCGTGCTATGTCTGTTAGCGAGCATGTATATTTTCCCGAATCCGATGTTTGTGCGTTGGCAACAAACAACCTGCTCTTGGCTCCATTGGTAAGTATATCAGTCTTGACACTGCAATTAAAATACAACGAACCCCAAATGAGTATACACAACACTAATAATTATATTTTATAAAACTCATGGCAGTTTTAATCAGTTTAGCTCGGAAATGAAGTATATTTTAACAGTATTAACGCATTTTAGGTGAAATTCAACTCAAATGTAAGTCGACGCCCATCAAATTACAAATGTGATGGGAACGTTCATTTAAAACCGAGGCCTGGCAGAGTCGGCTGTCTTAAAAAACATCTACCGAGTCATTTAGCTAAAAAGGTGTGACAGGCTTGTACAAAGGTGAACAAATATAAATTTATAAAAATCATTTAATAATTTGACTAGACATATTTATATCAATACAAACCCATCCTAGTCAGTAGAAAAATAAAACGTTTTCATTATTTTATCAGAACGTTAGACGATAAAATTGATAACAAAACTATAGTTTTAAAACTAACACAAATTCTCAGGTTCTATTTTTTTTTTTGAACATTTAAAACACCGACTCAAAGAATACATAATAAATTAATACTAAATGCAAAATTTCCAGTACAAAAATGTCATCTATTTGTACTATCAAATGTATTTCTAACACTTTATACGAAACGCATTACCTATTTTTGTGTTTAGTAATTAAGTAGAGATTATTAATTATAAAATGTATAATTAAACAGTAAACGAAATTAAAAATGTGCGACCGTACGTTTGACTCTGATTCTGGGTCATTTTTGTACACTTATTTTCATAATTGATCAATAATAATAATTTTAATCGCCATCGGCCCCGTTGTATATGCAAAAATGATTCTACTCGATGCGCTTTGAATATTTATTATCTGCTTGGCATAATTACTGCTGTTATAGAAATACCTGGAGTTTTAATAATGTTTTATTATAACCGCGCAATCCAGCGACAAAATAATAATAATTATTACAACGTGATGTAATTGTTATTGCTGCATGTGGCTTGGAAAACATGAAACTATAATATAGAAATAGGGTAAAAACCGTATGTACACCGTATGTATAATAATAATATTACACAAATACATTAAATGCACAGCGAACAACACATGGCGACCAAGCGCTGCAAATAGAATATTAATGTGGAGGAGAGTGCTAACCTTAACGGGCATATTATATTGAATATATTTCCAACTTGATGGTCATGTAGATTATATTAAATAAAAAATAAAAAACCATAACATTATGCAAGTCCTAGAGGGAATAGTCGCTGATTGCTTCTAATATCTTGGAACTTAATATGCGGTGTTCATTCGCAAATGTTTTCATCGAAGACGGTTATTAAATTTTATAATGGTATGTATTCAGTGTTATGACATAATTATTATGGAAATACTTTTCAACAATACTATAATAATAACAGCTGCAATTATATAGAAAAAAAAAATTAAATTTCCAAAAGGGGTTTTTTCTAAAAAAAAAAAAAATATCATAATTTGACATTGCAGACTCGATTTGAATATTTATCAAAATCGTTATAATATCTATTGTTTTTAATGTCCCGTTTGTTTTTTATTTTGCCATAACACTTTTATCGTTTGAAACCATACGGAAGTAAAAAAACGGCTGGGGGTCCAACCGGTCGGAAGTTGTAATTATTGTAAAAATATTATTTAAAAAAAATTAAACCCTAAAGTTTGCCGTTTCGAGTGTTCGGATCCAACCATAAGTACCTCACGGCGCGGCGTAGATTGCTGCAGCTGATTAATGTTGGCCAAATATTTTATTTAGCATTCCACGCTGTCGCCTCTAAGCCCACCCTTAAGTATAGTATACACTAGGCGTTCACTCCAATCAACAAGGTTTAAGAGCAGAACAGCTTTTGACCAGATTTCGTAAGAAAATAAAAAATAAAAACAAATTTGTTTACATACATTTTTTTTTACCGGTTGGGAATGTTGTGGAATTAAGTTTCAAAAATGAACTCTAATGATTTTTATAGCATTTCAAAAGAAGGTACAAGGGAAAAAAATGCATGTGTTTTTTTTATATATTATAATTTATATACTATATTATATAATATAATTATTTATATATTATACCATTGAGACTTTTTAAAAGTTTCAAAGGGAGAACAGTTTTAATGGGACATTTTCTCCTGGACTGTGACAAGCGGAGTGGTTGTAATGAAACCGACAATAGCGATTCGTTGAGTATTTACGGCTAATAAAACTTTTGTTACAGTGCTATTAAACTTAGTGGCCATCGTAATTTTGTGAAAATTGCTCGTTTAAAAATGACTCGTACAAATTAAATTAACTTTCTTAATAATTATGTCTCTTAACTGAGTTTTGCCACATGGAATTCATACAAATTTGAACAACCTAACAATTGTTTTGTGCTATGATTTTATTAAGAAATAAATTTATCTAATTGCTTACTAGAACCTTGTTTTTAGGTATATTGATTAGTTTTTCAAATAGTTTAGCCAACAACGTACGGGTACATTATTCATTAACATAAAATGAGAAGGAAAAATCTCCTTAGTTTAGTTAGAGATACTCACTTAGTTTACCGGGTAACTTACACCTAACGTAAGACATTGATTTTATCTAAAATAAATTATATTCAAATGGTTTTTTTACAAGTGGAAAATTTAAATCCAAATAATATTTAAAATACTAATTTAAAAAAAAACTCTAGAAAATGGCTGGTCGATTAGTTTTGAATAATTGATGCTAGCTAAAAGCATCCAAAAGCGTGTGACAGATACTCTTCTGTTGGAAATAATAGATTTAAAAGTATTTTACCTAAAATGAATTATTTTAAGCTTTATTACCAACCAACTGAAATATTTAGGGAATGATGGAAGGCTGCGGTAGAATTTGAAAAAAAAAATGTAAATTTAGTAAAAATGTGGAACGCCAGGACACTTCCTACAGAAAATGTCATACATTTTTTAAGACAACTCAGGTGAGCGTCAATGAGATGCGCTCTCTTTAACTTTGTTTAGCTTGGGACTTGAAAAAGTTAAACGAGATACTTATACACAACGAAGAATGGAAATAAATGACGGGAAATTTATATTGGCATACACCGATGAAATAGTAGTTTTGGGCAACGCAATACAGTAAGTTTCATTTTTCAACCTAATGGAAGCAGGTAAAACATGGTACTATCCGTCGATAAGGAAAAGACTAAAGGTATGGTCTTGTCTAGAAGAGATGTAGACTAATCCAATGTGTAAAAGTGAGAAATCTTAGTTTTTAAAAGACCAAGAGATTTAAATACACGGTAGCTATGTATATAGCAGTAATAACATGAATAAGGAAATAAACGAAAGAATATCAAATAGAATTAATCACAGTAATTCAAGTAGAAACACAGGTAGACGAGAATGCAATAACAGACTGGGTAGTGAATTGAGAAAGACGGAGAAGTTATTGAAGAAGAAAAAGTATTCTTACTTAGAGTTGACACAAAGTTATTATGTATTTATACTTTAAAAGCCATGCCAACAGCTTAAGAAAGTAAATAGGCTTGAAAATAAGATTTTGAGTTTATATAATAATATTTTTTGTTTAGGGGGTTGCATGCGGCCTGTTTTTTTAACGTTTTAGACCATAAAGCCAGACAAAATGTCGACTACTCAGGATGATCCGATTTCAATTCTGTAAAAATATACAAGTCTTTTGGTCACTTTACAAGGTATGTGAGAAACAGATTTTTGATTTTTTAATATTTTTATTTTATCAAAATATTGGGTTTTATTTGTAATCACTATTAAACTTTTCAAACACGCGAATATGTTTCGCATTGTCGTCTGGTTTTAAACATATAATTTATTAACTTACACAGCGTGGTTTATGTGATTGAAATTCATTACTCTCTAGGGATAATATTCAATAAAACGACTGCACAAACGAGGAGAATTTGTATGCAAGCTGTGTCGCAGTGACCAGTGCTGGTGTGTGTGTGTGTGTGTGTGTATAAGTAGATATATTTTATTAAAAACTGGACCGTTTTGGACGCATGCGAGCATTTGTCTTAATTTATAACTAAATAACGTGCGAACAATGTTCAAGCAGTAACGAGGGGTGATAAAAAAACTATTGTTCCAATTACTATAGTACAAGTACATAGGTGTCCCTAAACACCATGACACGAGCACGGCATTGGCCAAAATGAAAACAACATAATGCAAAGGTATGTATTAGAAGATATTATGAAATGTAAGTGCTATTGAATTTGTCGGCAACGATAACCACGTTTATGTGTGTGGGTTATAAAGCTCAAAGACCGCCGGATGATCTTGTTCAGAGCGGTTTTGAGTGGACATTTTATGTCTCTTATTATTTTACCGAATTACTCGACAGAAGCTTTGAAGCGGTTTCTATTACCAGCGACGGGAAACTTATGGCCGAGGAGTTATGAAAATAAAATCGAACCTCATTTTTGTTGGTCATAGAATAACAAAACCGCTATAAGAAACGTGTGTGTTTTCTTTGTTGGAATTTCTCCTTTAAAAAAAAACCTTATTTTTTTTTATTATTATTTACGATATTTTCGACAAAAGAAGCCAACGAAAATAAATAAAATGTCCGAAAGTGTTATCGACGTTTCATATCTGTCTTTTTATACTTTTTTCTCTAAAAAAAAAAAAAAACACTTGCTACTGTTATCGCTAAGTGATGCTAGTTAGAGTAGCTGACCGCTTTGGATTGCCGTCTTTGTACATCAATCTTTGTTTTGTTAAAGTAATATATTATTTCGGGTCAGTTTTCAACATTCGTTTGGCACTTACTTCGATTGTAACATTAAAATGGCACCCACACGGGTTTGGCAATATTCGAGTAATAAAACAAATTATTAGATTTCGCTTAAATTTTAAATAATTTTATTTTTGACGGTCTTTTTATTGCTGATTTTATTGTCATTTTTATTATGTGATAATATGAAATAACAACACACACTTAAATCAAAAGCACTTCTATTGTGTATTTTATATTCTAGGAAAAACAAAAAAGTTATATTTGATATGTTTTTGTTTAGTTTTCATATCGGATAAGTACAGTTATATCCTTCTCATAATTAGTTCAATATATTTCTCAGTACTTCTCTGTCTTGATAAGGTATTGTTTATAACGTAAGTATTACTTATAAAATATAGTGACCTAATTACCAAGAATAGGTAAGTAAATATTGTTTGGTTTAATATTTATGAAATGTATTTTTATTGTTCTTCCAGTTCACTTATTATTATTTTTATTTTGAGTTGAATATTTACTGTCAATATTTACTATTGAATATTAAATATTTAACGTTATATTTTATGGTACTTACTTTTTTTTATACATTTTTTGTGCTAGAAATAAAAACTGATAGAAATAAAAATTAGATGTATTCAATTTGTTTTTACCCAAACAAAATAAAAAATATTTAAATAATAAAATGATTACAATTTAAGGTAAAATAAAAATGTTTAATATACATTAATTCGAATTATTTATTTTTTTATCTCAGTCTTAAAATTATCATTAAAAAGGTACATAAAGCATATGGAGCCATCCATAATTTAATAGAACACTAAATTCAGATTTTATTTTTTACCAATATACAGGATGTCCCATTTTAAAATACTAATCGATTTTTCTCTAAAAATACTAATCCAATCAAAAAGTTGCTTATTAGAGACTTTTAGAGTACAAAGGGAGACGTTATAAAAAAAAAAAAATAGTGTCCAAAATTAAAAATGGCTGACTTACGGTCAAAAACATGTTTTTTTTTAATGGAAACCATGTATTTTTTGTTAACCAAAGAAATGTTCTTATCAAAGCTAACAACTTTTGTAGGGAAATTTTTTTGGTAAAACCCATAATTTGTAAATTAAGTATTTTTAGCTATTTTTAGTTTTGTTATTTTATTTTGATGCATATGGTAACCTTGTCATGTGTAGTAACCTTGGTATGTGTGGTAACCTTGGTTTGTGTGGTAACCATGGTTTTTGTCTTTGTGATGAAACACAGAAAACGAGACACACATACCATGGTTACCATACATGCAAGGTTGCCATATGCATTAAAATAAAATAACAAAACTAAAAATAGCCAAAGATACTTAATTTACAAATTATGGGTTTTACCGAAAAAAATTTCTTACAAAAGTTGTTAGCTTTGATAAGAACATTTCTTTGGTTAACAAAAAATTAATGGTTTCTATTTAAAAAAAACACGTTTTTGACCGTAAGTCAGCCATTTTGAATTTTGGACCCTATTTTTTTTTTTTTTATAACGTCTCCCTTTGTACTCTAAAAGTCTCTAATAAGCAACTTTTTGATTGGATTAGTATTTTTAGAGAAAAATCGATTAGTATTTTAAAATGGGACACCCTGTATTTATGTAGAATTTATTTATTTTCAAATGTTGTAGTGAATCTGATTAAATAGTGGACACGTGGACATTACATTTATGGTAGATAAATGTTGTGTAAGGCTATTTAATGATGTTGTAGTTAAAAAAAGGAATGCGTTTATCTTTATTTAGTTTTTATCTAACAAAATAACATCGAAACTAAAAAACTAAAAAAATATTTGTGTTACATACAAATATCGATTTAGAGGTATTTTGGAATTTGGTTTGCATATTGTATAAAAAATCAACGTAATCACGGGTAATTTATAACTATATACATTATATTTATGACATTTTTTTTTTTAGTATCAATTCCAGACCCTATATTTGTTTCACCTGATAAATGAACCTCATCAATAATACATACACTATACTTATATAATAAACATTATTTTCTCTATAAGTTATTTAGTATATATTTTACCTGATACCGCCTCGACTTGTGTCATAATTTAAATTCGTCGACTCGTGACGCCATACAATGAATTGACTTGGTTGTGGCACTTTAGTGATAAAACATTTTAGTTCTATTGTACTGCCCACATAGTAAAATTTATCTTTTACTGGCACACCTCTCTCGTCCGTGATTTCAAGTTCGGGTACTATAACAACCAAAAAAGTAGTTGGAGATAATTTTCAATGAATTCGAACAATTATTCTAGAACTACTAACAATCATACTCATAACCAATATAACAATATCAAAACAAGAAAAGGGAAAATATAAAAATGACGTTTATTTTAAAGTATAGTTTTTTATTAAACTTTTAAATGTTACCTTCAGAACTACAGTTATTCATTAGCATTTATTTGTAATTGTTTAATATACCTAATGAATATTTTATTTGGAAGTTTTTTAGCTAAAAATAGACCATATCGTTTCAAGATTTATAAAAATATTTATATTAGAATAATTTTAAGGTAATATGAAATTGTAGGTCAATTAAATAAATAAACAAGTTAAATTCTTTATTTTCGTTTCGTTGCGAGAGATATTAAATTCCTTTCTACACTAACGTTTTTCAGCTGTATCTAGTTGAATTAAAAATAAATGAAAAATAAAAACTACTAAGTCTGTATGTTAGACGTGCGTATGAGATCAACAAAAAAGACAGCGTTTTATCTGTAAAAATGTAATATATTTTTTTTAGCGTTTAAAAAAAAAGTAAAAAGGAAAACAAAACTAAGACTTTTCATGATTTTCGTATGGAGTTTATTTTTCTTATATACTTTGATCCGTCGCCTTTTTACCCAAAACAATTGTTAAGGTCTACAATGTGCTTTAAGAAAGGCGCGGTTGTCGGTAGGGTGAGTGAATGAACAAATTTGTAAATCTCATCACTTACCTATAATTGATAGGTAGACGGTAAATGCGATCGGCGGATGGGTAGACACTTGACATTCGTAATGGCCTGCGTCTCGTTCGTTTAGGTAAGATATACGCAGCTGCCAGTCGTTGGGGTCTTTGAATAAAAGTTCATAACGCTGATCCGTACTGTACACGTGGTGGCCAAAAGACAGCAGTTGCATTTTATCTCCAGTCCTTCTGACCCACGAAACCTGCAAACAACGAAATCCTAATTCAATGTAGAACAAATTGATTTACAATTATAGAGTGTATATAACTGTTAAGTGTATCCAACATGGGACGAGTCCGTTTAAACGAAAGTCCGTCGAAAAGAAAATTAAATTATACTTGAATTTTCGTATAAAATCAAACATAGCCGTTGTGTGTATCTGTCCTGATTGCTTTTCATATACACTATCCGTTGGTGGCGGAAAGCTACATAGTGAAATCAATTTAAACGTCAATTAAGCACGTCTTCTTTTTCAAATAAAACAACAAATCACTTATTCACACCTAAGCATAATATCCATTCTATTGTGTTTGTTAAATCACATTTCTCGCTAAAACAGTTCGCTTTAAAAATCAATAATATTATAATGTCGCCTGTTTGGAAGCCGTGCCTGACTTGTGTGGCTCGACGTTTTTCAAATTGATCATGATCTCAGATTTTGTCTCAGTTACCTCCAGGTTACATTAAACTAAACTAAGTAGTTTCACCGCCCACGTAGATTTTCTACCGAAAATTACCAAGACGTGTGTAAGACTTAATAATATCAACCTGAAGTATGAAATGGCAAATTTAATTTAATGCTGTCAAAAGTACTGGATTTATCGTCAAGCCAAAAAGTTTGATTTGCTGTACATATGACCAAATCCATGTGGTCCATCAGTAAATATCCGTAAACAAAAAGTGCACCACTTGGGGACTATAAATTTCAAAAATTAATTATAGTAGAAAGTTTAGCGCTTATCCATATTATTTTGTTTGTCTTTTATTTTTGCCAATTTTAATTCTATATTATTATTATTTTTTTTTTATTGAGAAGATATAGAATGTATACAATTTTGGACACAATTTGGGTACAGCTAGTACATCTATAATGTTTTGTACATGCGATACATTTGATAGAGAAGAAGATTAGTGACACTTAAATTTGATTATTCTACTTTTCGTTTAACAACATTCTAAATAGAAACGAAATGATACAACACAAAACCGTTTGTTTGTTACTTTACAAACGAATACTTGAAACGTCGGTCGTCCTTTATGGTTACTTATGCATGTCATATCCGGGGTAAATGTGTGCAAACACACGTGAACACAGACTACATAAATATATTTCAAAAAGGTAGTTTTGAGAATTATCACAAATGCTCGACGTGTGCTCTTATTATTATTTACACTGTTCAGCACGATTTTGGAATAAGAACCGCAACACGTGTACATTCATAACGAGAAATATTCTGGTGTTGGATTTGGATTAACCCAAAAAATAAATAGATGCATAATTGTAGTTCTTAATCTAAATTCAAATTTTGGTTTACAGTGTTATTACTAAAATCTTAATAAATATTTGCAAAAAATTTGATTGATCCGCACATTTTCTTATTAAATAACAGAGACTGTTACCTGCCTGATTTCAAATATTAAAATTATTTTATGGATTATCTTGTGTTTTACTCATTGAACTTATTAATTATCTATTACCTTTACAATAATGTACTATTAGAGGTTTACTTAGTTTATTTTAAATTTAGTTTTATTTATAAAACGTATTATAATCGGATTTATATAACGATTACTATTAATACTAGGTCGACAACAACCACATATTATACTACTCAGACTTATCAAAGTTGTCGACTAACTTATAAGATGGAGGTATAATTTGTTCAAAGTTCTGTAGTTATACTGTACAGCTCAACAGTGTTATCTTATTATTTTACCAGCTTAACTGAGTAAATTGGAACTTTATAACTACCAAACTAAATTTAATTTAAAGCCATCCAGCAGCGTTTACATTTATTACATTTTTTTGCGTGCTTAAGTATTCAAAAACGTTATATTATATAAGTCGCAAAGTATAATATCATTTTAACGTTTCAGCAGTTTACTCGATGCAGTATTATGTGGACATTTTGTACAGTGCACTTGCTATGATATTGTTCTCTGTATATATACTGTCTGTATACATACTCTCTCTCTATCTCTCTTTATCTCTCTCTCTGTAATATATATGATAACGCGGGCAAGCAAACTAACTGTCCTATAGACAATTTCGCCGAAATAATTTAAACTAATAATTGGTTTGGTATATTGTTTATCGTATAGTGTACCAAATTTAGATGAACTTGCAGATAACAATTAATGGAGTTCAACCAAATAGAGAATGAACAGATGAAATTATGATTTCCTCATTATTGAAGCTAAAAAGTTGGAAATTAAAGAAAAAAGAGTGATTAGGTAATTTATAATTTGGTTTTACATTGACGGGGGTTAAATAATTGATTGTGTTTCTTACATTCTTTAACACAACATTTCATTCTCTATTATAAAAATTTACTCTTGACTAGAAAATAATATTTTATTTTTCGACATCACCAATGATAGTAAACATTGTCTTGCGTGTTCTGTCATGTGTCACTTGACTTACTTTGTATTTTGAGATTTTTTTTGGCAATTTTTAAATAATGCTTTTCCTTTTCTGTATTTGCTAAAAATTAAAAACTTAAGTTTGACATTGATCGGTAATCGGTTTGATTTGATTTTTTTTGATTTTTTCCTTTTGAGTATTTATTGGTTTCCATGTATTGCTAATTTACCAACCTTCTTCTCTATTGAAATTTTGTGGGCATTTTTCATTGAACACAAACATTAAACTGACATTTGTACGAAACGTCAGCGTACAGCTGGTGATATTATATTATTATTATTTTGAATAATATTTTCTATTGGATCACATAGAATACGAAAAATCGTTTCGGAGAAAATGTAAAATGTAAAAATACACAGAAAACTTAAAAATGCTTTTTAACGCTCGAACGGTGACGTCGAATGATAAGTTGATGAAACGAATAAAAAAAAAGTTTGCAGTAGAAAGGAGGTGATCTCATAAAAAAACGAAGAAAATTAAAAAAAATAAAAAACGAAGAAAATTATATTGAAGACGAGCGCTGCAATTTGTCTAATTTCAAAGGATTGCAGATAAAGCCAAATATTGTCAGGATACGACCGCGGAAAATTGGCTCTAATAAATTAGAACGACATTTATTATTATTTAGGTTCGGTTATTATGGACGGGTCGGAAAATTTACTGCCGGTCGTTACATTACTGCTGATGTCGGTTAATGTTTTAGGGTTATAGAAATTATTAGCACCATTACAGTTGGAGTAATTTGTGCAGGTATGCAACATGTGTTAAATGCGCTGCGGCTTCATCCAGACGGTCGCAGATGTTTTTTCATTGCAAAATGATATTAGTCATTAGTAATATATATATATATTATATATATATATATGATAACATTATAATTTGATTAAAACTTAACATAAATAAATATATATAATATTAAATATATTTAAAAAACACTTAACAATGAAAAAAATAGAAACAAAGTATAGTGTTGAGAACTTTACTCACCTAAGCTGAGTTTTACATATTATTATTAAAAAAACAGCGAATTAAAATGATTAATTTTTTAATACGCCGGTAGTTAAAAAAAAAAAGGCCTACAATAGTGCGTTCTATTTGTTTGCAATGTTTATAATAATTATAATAACAGTCAATATTTTAATTTATTCATTTATAATTTTTATAAATTAGATATTTGTGTGAAATATTTTAGGTTAAGGACAACAGTTCCTAGAAATGAGTAGGTATATATATTATATTTACACATATGCTTAAACGCTGCAATATGTTTTTTTTTATATTTATAATTTTGTAAATTTACTATATGGCTATTGTGCGTAGTTCACTTATTATAGTTAATTAATGGTATAGATAAAACGAATACGACAAGGGTACATAGGATTCCCCTGAGGCACATATAAATGATGGGCGAAGCGCACACATTGCTTCGAGCTTTATTTTAGATTGTATGGAGATTGATCTTGGAGTTAACAACTACAACTGCGCCTTTGTACACACTAAGCGACATTGTTATGTAAAAATTGTACAACTATAGTTACAGGCAGAGAAGACAGATAATAAAATAAGATAAACAGGAATCTTAAGATGTGTGTAATAAAGAAAAATGATGTATTGTAATATACCCGTATAAGTACAGATGTCTTTTAATGCTCACACTGTATTTTGTATACAAATTGTGCTTTTGACTTACCGCGTTTCGCATCCAAGCTAAAACGTACTGTGTGTAAATATATTCATCCATTTTCCCGGAACGGGTTTAAAAAGTTTTCAAACTACCAACTAGAGTGTCCAATTACATTAGGCGTTATCTGTACTAAAAACACACTAAAGATTGTCAGCTAGTAAGTTTTCCAAACTTAGTGATTTCAACATACCATACAGATAACGGTCTCGAACTGGGTGAAAACATTTAATACATTAATGCGTGTGTGTGTGCGTGTACAAATAGCTTGCTTGTTGCTTATAACTTTAAATAGTTACTGTTTATATCCTTTCACATATTATGTGTTGTTTTGCGATAAGTACGCCAAACACCGAGTACACGTCGTACAGTTTCTTGGACTCCAGACACATAAGTCATCATGATGGTAATAATGTGCGAGTTAAATTTAAACAGGTTTAAAGCGTAGGCTCAAACGTGTCAGCATTGATGGGATTCCACGAAACAACAAAATTATTTTTTAAATGTTCTAAAATGTTTGACACTTATGTAGGTAATAGCATTTCAAAGAGTTCATGCCAAAAATAGTATTTTTTTCTTTTTAGAATGCACTGTAACATATTGAATTAAGAACAACTTTGATCATTTCTTATATAGAGGTGAAAATAACGACATTTGAGTTTTTGGGGTATCGTCTACTGTTTTCCCTCGAGCCTTATTCTTTAGTTTTCTACCTTCTTTACCCTTTTCATTTTTCTATCTTAGTTTTTCATTTTCCGCATTTGTTTAACCTTTTCCTTTTTCCACCTTATTACTATTAAATTAGCCTTCTTCATTTCATGTAACTATATTACAATACTAGCTTCGAATACGCAGCTTTAATTTTGTTCATTCTTCCGTCGCGGTTCCTCGTGCGGCTTACCCTTTCTTAAGTATACAACCGGAGTCGGCTTTTCGAGGAAACCGGAATAACATTTGCGCACTTATACGACCGTTTTGTTCGCAGAACGGCTACAACTAGGACGGCCACTTTGCGCCGCATCGAGCGTTATTTATAATTGACCGAAATAATGGTTTTTGCAGAGAATCCGCCGGCTGGCAAAGTTTGAAAGGCGCACATAAATTGTCGACCGGCAGACACGTTGGTGGAATTGTGTGTGTGTGTGTATAAAGTTTAATATAAAGTTGGTCGATTGCGGTGCGGCTGCTAGGCTGTATGAATGTCGTAACGGAGTAACACAACTATTGTATTCGGTGGAAAACGTCTGATTGATTACGCGTGCGGCGCGTACAAGTCTTAGCGTTGCTCGCAGTTCCTATAAATCAGTCGGCGTCGAACCCTAAAGACTCGTAACCGGAGATTACTACTGTCTTGTGCGTACGCCCTCACGGATATATTTATCTTGTCACGTTCGCGTGTATTCGCAGCCGCCGGGTTAACGCCGACATAATTACCAGAGAAATCACTCGGATGCAAAAACACCGTACACCTTGGAAGGAACGTTTTTTGATTTTCTACATCAGCTTTTCCAACACTATCTATACTGCCCCGCCCCCCCCCAACCTACCCATCCTGGTTCTTGATTTCCTGTTTTTTTTTTTCATTTTTCCACATTTTTTTAGTTAGCAACGAGTCTCGGGAGCACAAAGTCGTGTTCAATGGCTTTCTTTAATATCTCTTTTAAAAGTTAATGAACTATTAAAAAAAAAAAAAAAATGAAGATAATAATAATTTAATTTTAGTTCATTCTACTTGGTACTTGAATTTCTTAACCTATTTTTGTTTAAAATGAAATTCTCGGTTATAAGCCCGTTTAGGCTCCTCTCCTATTTGCGCCAATGTGGCTGAGCTAGTAAACCATGTACAATTTGAGTGAGCACTATTTTTTTTTTTAATTTTCTAGTCCTTCTCTCTCGACGAATCAAGCTTAACACATTTTCATAAAATACTTATCGATCATCAACTTGTACGATAAAGTAGAATATTTTAAGCTCAGACACAATCGGATTTGTTCTAAGTCCACTACTGCGTGCACATTAAAAATGTATAGATCCACTCGTCAAACATTAATATCAAGACTTAATCTTTATGGCAAACGTTCACGTCAAATGATTGGTTGCGGCAAACCGTTTTGAGAAATGACGGTTAGTAAAAAGAATGATTCACAACTTATACTTTCGGTTAACCGTTCGTCCAACAAGATAAACTAGAAATGAGGCGCCAAAGTAAAAAAAATAAAAAAATGTATGACATTTTGATCTTCAAATTGTTTATTTTGAATTACTTGATTTATGTACGTTCACATACCCAAAACACCATATTCTGTGTAAAATTTATTTCTCCTCACGATATACAAGCCTTGTAATATAGATAAAAAAACAAAAAAAAACAAAAATGTATTGTACACATATATTGTATAGATTGTTTTGTATTATTAATAAAAAAAAAAAAAAAAAATTTATTTAGTTAGATATAGGTTCGGTGACTGTATCGAAATTAATTTAATTTTGATTAACTAAAAAATGTAGTACCTAGACAAATTAATTGTGCTTGATCTATACTTAAGTCACGTATTCGAATAATTGTTCCATGCCCAACGTTTGGCATTAGTGATTTATTTTACTGACGTCCAACGTTAAAAATTGTCACTAAGTTCATTTAAAATTAAATTAATTTTTTTTTAAAGTAAAAATGTTAAAAATTATACGTTAATCAAATACATTTTTATTGGTTAATATGCGCGGGTGATGACTATTCAAAAAAAAAATTTTTTTTAAAAAACAATACCTCCTCAGCTATATTTTTTTATACAGTCAACATGCGAAATTCACCAAGACAATATAACGTTTAGCATATACAATGAATACTAATTGATAATACCATCATCATCATCATCATCATCACCGTGTAGCTTAACAGGCCCTGAAGTCCCAACGCTGCCGTTGTTAAACGGTTTTTGACGAATGTTTGTTTTGTATACACACGTTATTATTTCGGTTTCATAAATTACAAGTAGCAATGTTTTATTTTCTTACCGTTTTGTCATTGAGTTGTTTCACTTTGCAGTGTAGATCGATATTGGCGCCGATTTGCACGGTAATGTTTACATGAGACGACGCCTCTTCGAAAAATGGTAGGATATTGTCTTCTTCTTTTTTCGGTGAACTGCTCGACGACGGTTCCCATAAAACGTGATTCAATAACGTTTCGATGTTCGCATCGTTGTCGTAAGTCGATTCTGAAACAACGCCAATAAATCGAAAAACGGTTATATTTTTTAAAAGCCATCAGGTCTCGTGTCTAAATAACAATTTGTACAGGCAATCGACCATTTATGTTTAGGTTATCCCGTGTAATATACGGGGTAAGCGAGCTGAAGCCTAAAATCGAATAAGTGTACATCCGTTAGGGATTTATAGTACAAATAGTTTTGAAAGTTAAGACGTTACAAAGTTAATTAGTTAACCAAAGTAATATCTCTGCAGCTACGTTAAAAGTACTAAATATGTGTATTCTATCCAGAAAAATAACAACCCAAGCCGTTAACGTTTTTGATATATTACGAAGGAGTTTGACGGTTTAATTTGTTGGCGTGGAAAGTTAGCGTTCCGCAACTTATTAACGATTCAATGTACACTTTGCCTATATACGAGTAAGGAACGCAATGCAAGCATGACAGTGCAACAATACGAGATTACTTTTCAAGCACATTTAATATGTCGTGCTTTAATAAATGCGCAATCTGTACAATGTGCGTTTCTCTATATTAAAAAAAAAAAAACACTTCTACTTATTTCACACAGAGTTTACGCTCCTCAAAGTCGTTCAATCTGTCGCAAAATAGTTGTAAAAATGTTTAACCTCCCCGCCGAGTCATCCCTCTTCTATTCGGCCCAATGTGAGTATAATCAATTCGGCTATATCTATAACACAATCCCGAATGAAAATATTCAGTGGAAAAAAAATGGGTTTTAAATATTACTATGTACAGTATGAATTTAACGTGGACTCGTTATTAATAACGTAAATTATGATGTAGTACGATTTTTAATTTTCCCACTTAAATGCATAAATATTGTCAATATATTTTTCACATCTACTATCGATTAATTGACATGTCATTGACATTGATTGATGTTATGTTCAGTGTTGAGTTGTAGAGATGCGTTGTTTTTTTTTAAAAAAAGTAATGAAAACAAAGCTGACTAATTTGTTGTACCATTGAAATAAATAGTAGAAAATAAAATTTACTTAATTTAAAAGATTACAACAATGTATTTCGAACGATTTTTTATAGGATAATATTATGTAACATTAAAAACTTTATATTTTTTACATCATTGTGATAACTAGCAGAGTAGCGATTGGTGCATCTCTAGTGGTCGACTCTAATGACTGGCTGACCGTATAATAGATTAACAGGGATTGGTGTCTGCAAGACAGTAATACGATGCTTTTGCATTGTTCCGGTAGCAAATCGCGTGGAATAAGAACAACCCGAAAGACAACCCGATTAGAATATAATCGAAAACTCAGTACATGTATATGTATAGTATGTTTTATGACCAACATGTGTTGATTCACAAAGGATTTGTAGCGAATTGTCGAGGTTACGGTTTTTGATAGAATAATGACTGCTATCGGCGGCGGCGGCAAAAACAAAGACCGTCCCGGAATCCGTAATGAGAAGATAATGATTTAATAAATCAAAATTCAATATAAACGACGTTAATAAATTTGGGAATTTCCAACGGTTTCGGCGAAAAAGTTTTCAAGTACCCGGACCCCGTTAACTGGTGGATTTGTGACCATCCACCCGTGGCTGATGACGTCCGCTCGTAAATTACTTGGGTTATTTCTCGGTCAGTTTTTAGCAGCCAGAAATCTGGTGCGCGCTTGTACTTATCAGACACTACTTGGTGGTGTTTACGATGATAATATTATTATTCACTTCACGCGCTAGTTTCATTTGCAATTACGTCCGAATACAACTTGTTTAGAAGTGTTAAACAACGGAAACCACCGCAGTACTCCGATAATAAACTTTAATTTTGTATTGGCTTCGACCGCATACTTTGACAACAAAACCCGACAAGGACAAATATTGTTTTTCGAAATTACTTTTGAACGGTCTGAACATTTTTTCACTCTGTGTCGTCCATAATCATTGAAATAAATTTTATCAAAAAAAGAAGATATTTCATCTGGTGCTGTTACCCTATGGCATATGAGAATAGTAATAGTGCACATATAAATTTAAGTTAGTTTGCGAATCGAAAATAGTTGGACAACAGTAATTTTCTGCAAACGGATGTAAATCTAAATGTAGCAACTTGTAACCATGCCTCTTCGTCGTCTTGTGTATTACACTACTATAATACCGACTGTTTTTTTTTCCATTGATTAATGTTCTCTGTGTCTTTTCCATCTCTATCCCTCGGTAATTTATTGTACGACGAGCGTATTGTGTTTTGGACCTAGAGCGGCGATTGTAGACAAATAAATATCGAAAACGACATGATGTTTGTATACACGACGTTGGTAGCTACTTGTACCAATAATTGTTTAGCGCATATGCGGTGTTATAATATTGGTCGCAACCCGGAGTTATAATTATTATTATTATAGTCATTTGATCGTAGACAACAGTAGGTTAGATTACCGTTCATCCGTGTTCGGTGAAATTTCATCGACGCCGCAACATTCGTTCGGTAATTAGCGGACCTAATTTAGCGTGTAAATAAGAATCCGGACCACATGCGCGCCAACCGACCGTTATTAACCCGGAGCCCGGATCACAAAGGACCGGTGTTTACTTGGTGTAGGAAAATATTCGGTTCATTAAGCAGACGAAAGTTAATGTATGCGCGCAAAACTGATTCGCCAATGAGAACCGATACAGCGACTTGAACGCCAACGTCATAATAACAATATTGTAGTTTAGCCGACGGTTCAATCTTGCCGGCTAAACCGTGTGGCGATACTGTGCCGAGTCAAACCGACGTGTAACATTGTGTTCATTATAAAACGTATTGCAATCTCCGAGGTCGTTTGGACGACCCTCTAAAGGAACGGTGAACTCATTATTAATATACCGTAGGATACTCGGGATTTGTCACCGACGCAGTAACGTTGTTGTTTTGCCTATACAAAACTCCGTACAAGGTTCATCGTTTCGACTATTGAAACTAGGTACACCGTATTATTGTCAATATACATTGCCCGTATTATGTAATGGGTCTTAGTATTACCACTGACTCTATAGCTTTACAACCGTGAGAGATTGCTTACGCTGAACCGTATAAAATGATTGCTTTTCGTACACAACGATACATACAATTTATTTGGCGAGTTTACACAAAATACCGTCTCTATTTTTCATCAAAATCTCATTGGATTTAAACCATCCGGTCTCTTGTCTGCGCACTTCATCAAGCTTTTATATTCAGTATTTATATTATATACAAATTATGCAAGAATTATATTCTTTGTACGCCGTGGAAAAAAACAAATACCGAGTAAATTCAATTAGTCTGAATAAAATACAGCGAACGAATTGCAAATGGAATCAAACCGTACTAAATGTATATGGTGCTCCGACAACAGACATCAATATCAATTATTTTTGTGTATAGGTTTTAGAATTATTTCAGCGAAAGCACGCAGTTTGACTTTGTGAGTGTACATTGTAAATTATGCAAAGGTCCAATACAATTGTCGTTCACCTGTTTCCATATTTACTTTAATTAAAAAAAAAACAAAAACAATTTATTTCTAACGGATACACCAAGTCGTCGTTGTCAGTTTACCGGCAACGCTGCAGTGTTTAAGAAGTTAATAAATCTAATTCGAACGAGCTGACGGTGTAGTCAAGTGACGGATATTATATTGTTATTTCAATAGGAGACGGTGGGTTTGTTTTTCGATGTTGCGCTGTATCCATCTCAAGATAAAGCGGCCGCTTAACGGTGTTAACCCGTCATTATTTGAACGACAAAACCGTTGTACGGCAGTTACTATACAATACAATAATAACACTTATAGCAAACGTCTGTCGATTCACAGTAGTCACGTTATTATAATACGATAATATAAATTTATTATTTCGTTTTATTGTGATAATTAGAAAAACGATCGCCAAAGTGCGTTGAGCGCCCAAGACGAGCGAGCTAATAAATCACACTGGTCGACAGTATACATTGTCGTTATAACGGCGAACCCGAGGCCCGTAATTGACAGAGCAGTACCAAAAGCACAAGTTCACGTTTTCACGGTAAAATATGACTTTCCGCGGTATATATATACATCATACACATCTCGAGTTATGTTATTTATGCCAGGTCCGGACGGCGGCACAACCGCTGCTGAATAATGCATAGTGTCTATAGTGTCATATTATTATTATATTTGACCCGACGGGCTCATCGAGATGACGGCTGTGATTATGATGGTAATATAATTAGATGTATCGCAACACTATATTATAGTAAATATTGTATAACATCCTATTAGCTAATGACGAGGAGGCGACACTGCACAGTCAATCGCGGCCCGACATGCGATCCCCGGTGCTTGTCATCTTAGGGCCATCCGAGAATATTAATTAACCGATACTTTGTGCGCAAAAACAATATTATTACATCCGCACGTACTTAGAAATCGTAAATCACAATACTATTCCGACGCACACAAGCCCTAACGAGCCCGATAACGGCTTAAACGCGTGTAGACCGTTTACCCTTATAACGGCGCGCCATAAAATATAATAATATTGTTACTCACTTTTTAAACGACGCTGTGTGTGTGTGTGTGTGTGTGTGTGTGTGTGGAGCCGGGGCAACAAGAACGGATAGAAGCTTTAAAAAAAATCCAACAATATCTCAATAGATCATATTACATAGACAACGGCGTTGGACAACACTAAACACATAACGTTCTGCTTTTAAAGATAAAAATACTATTGGAATAATGCATACGTTCTGCAGTCGAAACACTAATGGTCGATTCTTTTGACCGAGTACCAGACTAACATGATAGCCATAATTACTTAGTTTAACAAATTTGGATTTTAAAAATTGACAAGTATAAAATTGATTGTAAAACGAATATTTATACTTAATAATATTTTAAAATTTTGTCCATAATTTTAAGCGATTATTTATTTGTCTCGAGTTGCTCAACGAACATCCACTTTTGTAATATCTAATTCTGTTCGCTGAGACATGTTATTTGTTTATT